AATGGCCAAGTTAATTGTGTCGTGGAAAACGGAACGGTGATTGAAGTGTTGTCATATGGCCACTGCAAACGTTGTGCCAACAAGCTTTTTTTATATACATATAAATGTGTGTGTGTATATATAAAAATAACGTTGTGATAGCATGATGTGTTTATAAGCCTGTTACAAATTCCAGAAAGTGGTGGCTTGAAACAGAGGTAGATTTTAGTTTGATAATTGGGTTCGGAAAATGTGTGCTGTAAAGCTAAAATGGGAACGTTCATTTCAACTTTTCGCTCAGGTTTGGTCCTTGCTTGTGCGATCGTTATCTTTAATTCACTCTTGACTAGTTAACTGTTCAGTGGAACAGCAGACGGTAGCAGATCTGCTGAGGCGTGGAAGGCTTTGGTTAGCTGATGGTGGGCTTCTTCAGTGCTGAGTTTTCATGGAATTATCCGAAGAGAGGACAGAAACATTTTTATTTATGATGCACAAAGAAGTGGTGGATTTTAGTGTGCTTTTACAGATACTCCAGAAGATTTATAAACTAATAGTAACATTTGCTGACTGCCAGCACAGGTTTCCCTAAACAGTGTGGGGAGCAAGTAGGAGGCTTTAGAAAAGCAGCAGTTTCGCGAGTTGGACGATGACTCACTGCCTACTGACTGCAACGTGGCTGATCTAAAAAAAATTCTTGTGGCCCGTATTTTTATAGTCAAAGGGATAGTACTTAGCAGGTTGTATAATATGTCATTAGTCATTCTTGGTCTTTCTCTTGTGAGTAATGATTTGGTCATTGTGTGGTGTGCATAATCAAATTAACTGATATCTTTCCGTCTTATTTGTATTTCTGAAAAAGTAAACGTCTCATACTTTGACTGTGTTTCAGTGTACATCCTGTTTCCTGAAAACTGAGATAAATCCACGTGCAGAAGTTGAGCACGAATTGAAGGGGCTGCTTGCATAATGCATGAAGCTGGTCATGTGTGGTGATGTCTGCCAGCACTAGGAATAATTTCAAAGACGACAGCCCTTCTGTGGGTCACTTCTGTTGCTCTTTCCCGAGAACTGTTCTGTTTTAAAAGCATAGTTGTAAACCACTTAAGAAACTAGTATCTTTGTGTTTCCCTCTTTAAACTTTGTGGGAATAAGGAATAAAAATACTGCTTAAAAAAAAACGGTAGCCTTGGAAAGGTGACAGCCTAAATGAAAACAGCAGTGCCTGTGTGAATAGCCTGTTCGATACAAATTGGGGTGATGAACACCCCCTTTTTATGCTGTAGTCAGTCGTGTGTTGTAAGTGGTTAGAGCATGTTACACATAACTGAAGAGGAACTTGTCGTTTTTGTTTACTTAGTGTGTGTAGTCCAACAGAGGGTTGGGCTGATAGTTACAACTTTCACTGAAAATATATAAACTTAATGGGTGTTGGTGTCACTCTTCAAATATTAGTGTTTTAAAAAGAACACCTCACTATTTTCCAAAGTTAAAAATCACTCTAAAATGCAAAGAAGAAAATGAGTTACTTTGAGCTCATTTTGGCTTGAGAAAAGCCTTGATTTCTTCTAGGTGATTACCCTTTAAGTAAGTATTATCGTAGTCAGAGTGAAAGAAAGTTTGGGGTTAACTTTTTATTTTCCATCCCTCCTATCTGCTTCTGATCCTCAGGACTATTTGTCTTAAATGCCTGTTTGCTATTAACTTGTGGATGGAGAAACTAGTTCAGCTGCTTCCCTGGCCCCTGGCGTGGGTGACGCTCTGGGGGCTGCAGTCCCGGTGGAGGGGCCAGCTCATGGGTGACGGCAGTGAAGGGGCTGTAGCACATGAGCAAAGAGCTGCACTGGGTGAGAGATGGAACTGGCATAGTGAAAGAAGTAGATCTTTAATGTGAAAGAGGAGAGAAGTGTAGTTAATGCATGGGGTTAGTTTAGAAGTGTATTTTTTTGTTTAGACAAGGACACATGACCACAGCATTGTCATCTGTTATGTTTCCAAATTAGGATTTTCAGCAGCAGTAAACGGAACATCACTCTCAATTACTGAATCTTAATTTAATTTGTTTTAATAGTGGGGCATTTTTGCTAGGACAATCTCTTAATTGTCCTCACCGTACTCACCTGAGGTACTGTGTCTGGTAAATAGGCTGCCTCTTGGTCAGCTTGCTGGGACTAGATCTTGTTTCGAATGATAGCTGGGCCCTGCTTTTTGTGGCTTTGAGATTAAGGCATTTGCTTGTAGTTACATAGGAAGTTTGTAGCAGGTTCAGGTCAAATTGAAGGCTACAATGGGTTGCTTATGTTGTCAACATTTGTTTTCTTAGCTAAATTGCTTTGATTCTGAAAATCATTATGTACCTTCTGAAAACGCTGTAATTAGTGGTCACCTAGTGGAAGGATATAGTATAAGCTGATGATCAAAAAAAATGCATTATTTCAGAGATACAGAATTAGAATTTTAGGGCTCCTACTTCAGTAAGCAAATGGGCTATAACTCCCTTTCTGCGTGCAGCAGTAGTGTCATTACTGCTTTCATGTTGTAGTTCTGCTGCTGCCTTCATTTAGACGTGGCAGAAAGGGGTAAGATCTGAGTTACGGTGAAGAGCTCAGCACATCTTACTCCTTGCTACTGGTGGGCATCTTTTCAGACCTGTTCCTGTGCTGTTTAGTGGAACTAGCTAAAAGAGAGGTTCCAGATGTATCACCCAGCTGGCACAAACCGATTCGATATGGCTGCCTTTTGAAGACATCAGCAATGTGAAACAGTAAGCCAAATTATGGGGAAGAATGCAAATGGTCTCAAGGATATAAAACATAGCTTACTGCAGGGTATTTTGACAGAGGCCTTGGACATTGAGTTAACATGAAATTTAAGGTGTTAGTATAAGCTACAAAAGTGAATTTTCTTAAAAATTTTTTGGGAGATTGAGGAATTAAGGGAAAATGATGTGAGGTGATGTAAACTTTTTTTACAGGCAGCAGCTTGGAATGAGTGAGCCTGAAAGTGGTGCGTGTGAATGAGAAAATGTTTTTAGTTGGGTTTTTTTTTAAAGTTAAAAATCAAGAGGCTAGACTTCTAGTTTTTATAATTGTGAACATAGAGTTGGGTAGTCACTGATGCTATCCTGATTTAATTATAGGACAAATTTTATATTTGTTCTTTAAGTAAATTCATTGCTATTACAAGAAGGGTTCTTAATACTGATGTCTTAATACTGATATAAATTCAAGATATTTTTGGGAAAATTACCAGTGTTACCTCATTCTGTTTGTACTAAGGTTATAATAACCCTTGTGAAACACTGTCTAAAATTAGGTCTCTTGACAGTGTGCGAAGAAAGGAATCTCAAGGCAGTAGCTGTATGTGCTGAGTAGAGAAAGCTCTGAAGATCACCCTTCTGGCAGGGTACTGTACCACATCAGTGGAGGGCAGCTCAACGTTCTTTGGTTTAGAAATACTACACTTGGTGATTTTATTTAAAAAGAAAAACCCAGCAGAGGATAGCATGTGCTTCGTTCTTCTTTCCAGTGTTTGTCACGTGGCTGCACAAATACCTGGAGGCAGGTGGTGTGTGGCAGGAGGGAGCGAGCCAGGGCACTGGGGCTGTGTGTCTTGGTGGCAGTCAGGCTTGGGCCTAAGGAGTGGTAATATTTAAATGTGTTAAAACAGTCTTGTTTCTGTTTGCCATTGTGTCTCTTTTTTTTTTTTTCCTTGCAATTCTGATTACTTTAGTGAATTGAGGCCATTATTTAGAATATGTTAATAATTTGTCAGCTGCGCTTGCTGCCTTCTTAGGAGTGGAGAGACTTGTTTTGCTTGGTCCTGGTTGTCCCACTGAAGTGCTATCACAGTTTTAAGGGGATACACTCATACAGTTTGATTCTGAAGTGATGGGGTAGTTTGGAGAACTTAAGATTTATTTAGAGAGCTGGGTGAAGAGCTGAATCTAAGATCGAAGAGAAGACATTTAGTGGTTTGATGTGACCTATAGTTGTTGGGAAAGAACGTACAAGTGACTCGTAATGGAATTGCCCAAACCTTACCACACTGTGAAAGGTACACCTTTGGCTCTTTGTGGCATCTTCGAGCTTTTACAAGAAATTAGGAATTTTTGCAAAAATTTAACATGTGGTCTTTATGACCACATTCTGCTGCTGCAGACAGGGAAACTTACTGAGAAAATTACTGCTTTTGTTTTCATAAATAGTAGTTGCATTCATTAGACTATTAAAAAAAATATATGTCTGAAAGTGCCCATAACTTAGGAGAAACAGCTATAGAATATATCAGCCACTGTGTAAAACTTACTCACTGTTAGTTTTTCTCTGTAATCTAGGTTGGATAAGTGTAGAAGTAATTGATAAAGTAATAATAATTGTCTAATATGTAGGAATTACCCCTGTGATACCTGTAACAATGAATCTGTGGAGGCAAAATTATGATTTGAGATGTTAGTAGACTTTATGCAAAAATCACAAGGATTTAAGCTTTAAGTGGCATTGGTTGTGTGCTGTATATTCTGGAAAGTCAATAAATACCAGGAGTGTGTAAACCTTATCCTTTTTGTGTTATCTCTTATGGTGAAATAGTTAAAACTCTGATTTTTGTCTTTGAGTAAAAGTTTAGTGGAAAGAATTACTCCAAAATTTAGTGACTGAGGTGCAGGATATTATTGTTTCTGACTTGTCTCTTAACAGCTGTATTGGAGAATTACCAAGTTTTCTGTGATGTTCCCTTCTTTATTAAGGTTCAGTAGGATTTTTCATTGTGTGCCTCAATAGGTTATATCTAAAACTTTCACAATATACATTTAGAAATGGCGGTTGGTGATTATTGTCAGTTTTCCTCCACAGGTATGAAAAGTGTATGTCATTTCTAGTTAGTTTTAACTTTTGCGATGGTTTCTTATTTTGCAACCTGACACTAAATAAGTTGTATGTTTAGGACAACTTAAGGAGTTGGGGGAGGAGGAAGACTTCTGTATGTGCTGGAATACTGATGTATTTTTCTCTCCTTTTCAGGTTGTCACGGAGTAAAATGGATGGTAGCTTCGATTGTGATTGTGGTGAGCTGGAGCCACCTGATCATTAACAGAAGGCATCTTTTGTAAATCAAGAGCTGCCAGTTTCCCGTTTAACTAGACTGTAAACAAAGGAGAGAAAAAAGAGGAAGAAGGAAAAAAAAAAATAGTGCTTACCAGCACCATAGAATGACGCTGCTCAGGACCAGTCCAACACTGAATGTATCTGCACTGTGAGGAGGAGGATGTTAAAAGAAGCCTATTATGTGCATATTTATTCACATTTTTGTTAAATGTTAACCAGTTTAGCACAGTAGAGCTGAGTGCATAGTATGTCATTTCATTCCGTTTGAGTTTCTTGTGAGTATTTTCTTTAATGTCTGCAGAAATGCTGCACCTTTCTTGAACTATGAATGCTGCAATCTTTCTATCTTATGCTCGGTTTGAGTTCTAGAGCTTACGGGCTCTAAATTCAAGGGGACACAACAGGCCTGGCTGGCTCATAATGAAATGAGAGTGTCAAGAAACCATCTTGCAGTCAAAGCCAAGTGTTTCTTCTCCCTTTCTGTAAGACCTTTCCTTCAGATACCAGTGGAATTGTCTCCGTGTGTTTACAGAAGCATAGTAGTTTGAGAAAAAAGAAACGTAAAGAATTTTAAAATGGCAGAAAAATTTGAAAGTCTCATGAACATTCATGGTTTTGATCTGGGCTCTCGGTATATGGACTTAAAACCACTGGGCTGTGGTGGAAATGGCTTAGTTTTTTCTGCTGTCGATAATGACTGTGACAAAAGAGTGGCTGTCAAGAAAATTGTCCTTACAGATCCCCAGAGTGTTAAACATGCTCTACGTGAGATCAAAATTATTAGAAGACTTGACCACGATAACATTGTCAAAGTATTTGAAATTCTTGGTCCTAGTGGAAGCCAGTTAACAGATGACGTGGGCTCCCTTACAGAATTGAACTGTGTTTACATTGTCCAGGAATACATGGAGACAGATCTGGCTAATCTGCTAGAGCAAGGCCCTTTACTGGAAGATCATGCCAGACTTTTCATGTACCAGCTGCTACGTGGGCTCAAGTATATTCACTCTGCAAATGTTCTGCATAGAGATCTCAAACCAGCTAATCTTTTCATTAATACTGAAGACTTGGTGCTGAAGATTGGTGACTTCGGTCTTGCACGAATCATGGATCCTCATTATTCCCACAAGGTACGTGAAGAGTGGGAACATTTAAGTGATGCACTGACAACTGTGCCTTCTTAAAATAGCACCTTTCTCCCTTTAAGCAGAGGTAGATAGTCTGTGGAAGACTTCATTAGCAGGTGGGATATAATGTTAGGGATCATACAGAAGACCTGAAATGCTTGCAAATAGAGTAAAACATCTCAGGATGACATGCTTTGTCCAAGCATAAAATCCAACCTTGTTTTTCACTAGATGTGTTCAGAAAAGCAGATTTCTAACAGTGAATGTGGAACCTGAGATTAAGCACAACATTTAGAGGTGTAAACCATAGAAGCCTTAGATAAGTTCATAACTGGTCCATTCATAGTGTGCAAGTGTGGCTAATTTTTCAGATTGAAGTAGAGATACTGTCTTCCTGGTTTACATGATGTTTCACAAGAGAGTTCATTATCATCTCCGCATTTATTCAGCATCTGGGAATAAGAAAGTTTTGCTGCAGTACCTCATTTAACTAATAAATAGTGTCATACTTCTATATTGTTGCTGTTCACTCATAAAGATTTTACTGTTCCATTTTAAAAAGTAGAAAGGCTTAGTAGAGGGCACATGGTACTATCCGTAGGACCCTGAGACCAAAAAAATCTTGTAGTAGTGCATTAAAAATATAAGAAACAAGTAATTTTAAAAAACTGGTACCTCTTAAAAATCTAAGTATGCTTTTTTCTTTTTTTTTTAAATTAATTTCATTAGGGCCATCTTTCTGAAGGATTGGTTACTAAATGGTACAGATCGCCCCGTCTTTTGCTTTCTCCTAACAACTACACTAAAGCCATTGACATGTGGGCTGCAGGTTGCATCTTTGCTGAAATGCTGACTGGGAAAACCCTCTTTGCAGGTGAGTAGAATAAAAATGTATGTGTATATTCCTAAAAGGATTGGTACTACTTAATTATCTTCCTAAATAAAGGTTGATTCTCATGACTCATATAAATAGCTATTGACTATCAGGTTGTGCTATATTATTATGCAGTTATATAAATAAACTGTAAATTGTATAAGCAAACTATAAATTGATGTATTTGTAAAGCAGAAGATGTTTTAATTTTTTTTTTCATACCAGTGTGTATTTAGATAAATACCACAATTTAATTTGGTGCTTATATGATAAATCTGCCTGTAACTAGGTTAAGCTAAATTTATTGGATGCCTAAGAAGTGTTCTAAATACATGTATTCTAGTGAATTGATGTATCCAGGGAGTATTTGAGGATTATGAATGCCCTGAGTATTATATTCATAAAGATTTTTTTAATGTAGTCAACCTAATTATTTCTCACTTCTTTATATTTCCAGTTGCGAAAGAATAGCCCTCTCTTGCCCATTCCCATTTTTTTTCATCATCTACAGGCCATTTTTTACCTGATCTTTGTTTCAGTGCTATAGGGAGGACTCTTTAAGATTTAAAATTGTGCGGCATACCAAGGAAATGTGTAACCTCCAGATGTCTCTGATAAGATAGGAAGCAATGCTCTGGTCTCATTGGGTGCATCTACATTTGTGCTTTCGTTAGGATCAGGAGCAAATTTTTGAGGCGTATCTCTTGATAGCCATCCTGTACCACATTGCTGATCTAGCTCAGTGCATAAACTAGAGCCTTTTTAGATAAAATGAAACTCATTTGCACTGTAGATCACCCAGTGTGCTCCACCTGCTGATAGGCATTCAGTCCATGGGAGCAGATGAGCTAGTCTAGAGTAAACCCCTGAAATGCTTATATTGTGTGCACCCTGGGGCCTCAGCAGCAGCTGTCTTATTCAGGCTCACTCTCGGGTTTGCTCTCATCGGTCTGAATTACTGGAGTAATACAGATAAAACCTCTAAGAGCTGAGCTTGCGTTTCAGAGTTCACATTCCTTTAGATCCATGTGGACTAAAAGCATACTGCAGTAATGCTTAGCTTTGTATGTCAAGGTAAAGAAATTGAGACCTTTTTCCTATCAAGTACTGTTGATGGAGTACTGTCACCTTGAAATCATTATTTTGTAGAAGTTGCAATTAACATGTGAAGAGGCTTTCCTTAACTTGCAGCGAGTTGCTAACTCTTGGAGTTACTAACTATTGGAGTAATGTCTCCAGTGCATTAAATGCTCAACTGTTAAGAGATTTATTAGGTTTCCATTGCATCAAGCACTTCTACTGGAAAGTAGTGAAATAGTGGGAGAAAGTGCAGATTTCAGCATAGATTGATTGCAACTGCTAGCATTTTGGCTTTTTTTTTTTTTGAGTGGCATTGGTAGTGGTCAAAAGTTTTTATTGGTCTAATAGCTGTGCAGTGAGAAATCTTTTTTTTAAACTCAGTCTCAGTAACCAAAATCGCAAGTTTGTAGGATTGTTTATGTGTCTTAATTGCATTGTGTAGATACCTAGAAAAATATTTTTTAGATATGGCTCTGTCTCTCTGAAATTTACCTTTGCCATAGTTTCCTGATCTAAAGAAGGGTGGACTTAACGTCATGCATTTGGAAAGGGAAAACAGTTGGAGATATGACGATTAGCCTATCCTGAGACTGAATAAAATTCTTTTGCAGAGTTGTTTGTAGGGCTTGATTTGATTGATTTACAACTTCCTGTGTACTTTTGAACCATCCCTTAGGAATCCTGCTGACGGGAATGGGAAGGAAGAACGCAGGTTAAAATTGCAGAGTACCTGGGATGAGGGAGGGAAGGGAAGTTGAGGCAGAGGAATTCAATAGCTGTTCCAAACAACTTCTATGATTCTTTCTTCTAAATGAATATTTTAAAATGTTCATTTCACTTACAGTGGAAAGCAAACTGATTAATTTTTAGGATTAATATAATCATACAGTAGAATCTGTTTTCCAGTAAATTACAGGCAGTATAACATCTGATAGATTATATTAAGTAGTTTGTAGTAGTCTGCAGTAGGAGGACAAAACAGTTTTTTCAGTCCAGCAAGTAAGTTAACATGAGGTGGTACTGATTCATTTGAAGAATGTAATTCTTGGTCAAATTTTCCGTAGAGACTTTGCCTCAGCTTTTCTTTAAGTCATCTGGCAGGTGTGTGGTAGGACGTGCGGTGCAGACTGCCATGCAAACTGCTGAAGTGAACCTGATAGTGTATAGATTTTGAGATGGTGTAATCTCTTTCTGGCCCCATTTATTTTTGTATTGAATGTCGCATGCATCAGTATCGCAGATGATTGCCCAGAGCTGCTTGGTGAAGGAGGAAAACACAGGCATGCAAATAACCCTATATAGTTTCATCTGCTGGTTGGATCTCTAGGGTGCTACACGCTTCTTGGAGCTGAACAATAAATGGAGGAAAACAAGCTGTATTTCTGGGTACTGCAGCTATACTGGTACTGAATATAGATGCTGTTCATTATTCCAAATTGACCTGCTCTATAGGTCCTTATAGTTCTTACCCAGGGAAACTTCAGATAGTACTAAAAGTGTACTATAATTTCAATCATAATACAGTACTTTTTTAGAAAAAAGAAATTACACTGCTTAACTGACAGGTGATTTTTGTCTTGCACCTGACAGTAATACAGGGTTTTGGAGCAGAATATTAATACAGATGGTTATGGCCTGTAAGATCTCTTGTTAAACCACTCCTGTTTTTATTAATAAGGGACACATAATTCAAAGTGAGGTCAAATATTGAATTAATTAGGTGAATCAGTTGAAAAGGGAGGATTGCAGAATATAGTATATAACAAAAAAGAGAGGGTGTTGCTGTAGAGAACCTCTTCAATGGTGAAAACATCCTTGCAAAAGCTTGAGGTTAGGTCGCTTTATCTGTGTGTAGCAGCTCTGTAATTCTTCATATGCTACAACATTTTTGAGAGCTCTTCAGATTTATTATTATTCAAATTTAGAACCTGAGCCTTTCCTCTGCTGTAGGAGATAATAGACTACTGAAAATAGCTGCTCGGAGCACAAAATTTTGACATGCCTTTCATATACAGGGATCAGAAGTTGAAATGACAACTTGTATTTTCTCTTGGTGCTTAGGTGCGCATGAACTTGAACAGATGCAGTTGATTCTAGAATCAATTCCTGTTGTACATGAGGAGGACCGTCAGGAGCTTCTCAATGTAATTCCAGTTTACATTAGAAATGATATGACTGAGCCACACAAACCTTTAACTCAGTTGCTACCAGGCATCAGTCCTGAAGGTAAGTAATTCAGAAAAAATACTTCTGTATTTCAAAATCGTAAAATAGTGAACATCTTTCAGTTCCTGTGTGTGATTAGTAAAAGCAAGTTTCAGTTAGAAGAATCTGTGTGTTCTCGGAAGGAGGGTTGTCTTCTGCTGTAATAAAAAAGTTCTACTTACAAGATAGCTACTTGGTCATCTTTGAGTGGAATTGTGAATCTCTGCTGGACCTGTTTGCTCTGGAATTGCTATGTTTTGAGATATTTGCCTTCTAAATATAAGGCAACATTGGAATGGAGTCAATATAAACCAATATCTTTCAGATCTTTTCAAAAGCAAGTCCCCCCACCAAACTGACAGCAATGTTTCCTGGTAGCTGTTGGTGGATAGTGATTCAGCTTGAAGCATTGTGTCTCTTAGTATTTTTTCCTGCTTTAAGTTAAATTATTGTTGATGTTAGATTTGATCTCTACTCTTCTAACTTTCCTATGGCTACAGAATGAGTATTTGGCAGTATACTGTCAGTTGCCGATACTTTACAGGTGGCTACTTCTAAGGAGGTGCATGCCTCTAGAGCAAAGCACTGCACCTTAATCTTAAATTGTAGATGTCTGAAATGTCATTTTTCTCCTATTTAACGATAACTTTTTTTCTGCAGCACTGGACTTTCTGGAGCAAATTTTGACATTTAGTCCTATGGATCGATTGACAGCGGAAGAAGCTTTGTCCCATCCTTATATGAGCATTTATTCCTTTCCAACGGATGAGCCTATTTCAAGTCATCCTTTTCACATTGAAGATGAAGTTGATGATATTCTGCTGATGGATGAAAGTCACAGCCATATTTATAATTGGGAAAGGTAAATTTATCACTTACTGTAGCATGTAACATAACTGAATGGTTGTGTGCTTGAAGTAGTGATGTCCATGAAGCAACATTTTGTTTTCTGTTTGTTTCCTCTTAAGTTCACCTGAGAATAAACTTTTCCCTTATAGGCAGTGGAGTGTCATTGGGTTTATAATTCATTAGACTGACTTGGATGTGCTTATGCATTCCTGTAATGCACTCAGGACTCTAGAGTCTAAAGTTAATCTCTTCATTACTTTTTTTTCCCAAAAAATATTTCCCTAAAAACTAAACTTTAAATGAAGAGAGTTCAAGTATGATCGTCTTGTCCCATGCTTAGCGCATGTAATAGTAAAGAGGTTTACAGTAGTCGTTTAAAGTCAGTTAAAGACACTTTAAGGGAGAGTTTTGTAAATGGACTGAGCTATTGTACATAATTCTGGACTTAAATCTTTGATGTGTGTATGAGGATTGCTTTATGCCAGTTTAAATAAAAAACCTGGAAGAGGCACCCAGTTGGATTGAGGAAAAACTTTTATCTGTGTTAAATTGTTGTTATTCTGTAAGAGGATTTGTAAACTTAACTGTCTGTGTCTGGGGAGTAGAAGACTGGTTTTTAGCTGCTAACATTTAGGAAATTGTTTTACAGATACCATGAAAGTCAGTTTTCAGACCATGACTGGCCTATTCATAATAACTATGAAGCTGATGAAGTTCAGCGTGATCCAAGGGCTCTTTCTGATGTTACTGATGAGGAAGAAGTGCAAGTAGATCCTCGCAAATATTTGGATGGAGATCGTGAAAAGTATCTGGAGGATCCTGCCTTTGACACCCACTTCTCTACTGAGCCTTGCTGGCAGTATTCAGATCACCATGAAAACAAGTATTGTGATCTGGAATGTAGTCACACTTGTAATTACAAAATGAGGTCATCTTCATACCTAGATAATTTAGTTTGGCGAGACAGTGAAGTTAACCATTACTATGAGCCCAAGCTTATTATAGATCTTTCAAACTGGAAGGAACAGAGCAAAGAAAAGTCTGATAAGAAAGGCAAGTCTAAATGTGAAAAGAATGGGTTGGTGAAAGCTCAGATAGCGCTTGAGGAAGCATCACAGCAACTTGTTGAAAAAGAAAGGGAGAAGAATCAAGGATTTGACTTTGATTCATTTATAGCAGAAACCATTCAGCTTAGTTTACAACACGAGTCTACTGATGTTGATAAATTAAATGACTTGAATAGCTCAGTGTCTCAAATAGAGTTGAAAGGATTAATATCAAAGTCGGTAAGCAGAGAGAAGCAGGAGAAAGGAATGGCTAATTTGGCACAGTTAGAAGCTCTGTACCAAACTTCTTGGGACAGTCAGTTTGTAAGCAGTGGGGAGGAGTGCTTCCTCATAGACCAGTTTTGTTGCGAAGTAAGGAAAGATGAACAAGTTGAAAAAGAAAATACTTACACCAGTTATTTGGACAAATTTTTTAGTAAGAAAGAAGATGCTGAAATGCTAGAACCTGAGCCAGTAGAAGAGGGGAAGCCTGGGGAGAAGGAAAGAGAAGAGAGCTTTCTCAGTAACAGTGGAGAGCTCCTCTTCAACAAGCAGCTCGAGGCTATAGGCATTCCTCAGTTTCACAGCCCTGTTGGTTCGCCACTGAAATCGATACAGGCCACGTTAACGCCTTCTGCGATGAAATCATCTCCCCAGATTCCCCACAAAACGTACAGCAGCATTCTGAAACACCTGAATTAAAACACTCAGCAGACATTTCTTTTATATTCATGAGATGTGTTTTGTCTTTTTTTATTACTAGTGTAAGTAATTTTTTTACTTGAATCAGACAGTGTAATTTTGGTATGGATTTCATTAGTTTTCTGTTTACCATTGTTTTTACAATCCAGCATTGCTTTCTATACATGAGTTAGTTTTGTTTTTAAACTGGCATGTCGTTTGCACACAAAATTAAAAGAATAGAGCAAAATAATGCAAAATGCAGGAGGTAACAAAAAATGCACTAAACAAAGTAAAAAAACATTCTCTCAGTAAAACAGTGTCCATGTTTTGCAGAAAAAGAACCTTGCCTTGAAATTTACACAGTGAGACTGTACATAATTGCATGAAAATATCTATTTTTCCCAAAACATTTTTTCATTCATGCATATTTTAGGGTTTTTCATACTGTACACATTTCTTAGACACATGATACCAGCAGCAACTGAAATGAATGCAGAATTTGGTACGCATGTGTTATCTACCTCAAGGTAACAGCAGTATGTGGCAAAACATTAACCACCCATAGTGCTTCTCATTATGCACTTCTATTTAGCCAGCATTATTGTAGTAGCTATTCTTATTGAAAATCATTCAATATTTATAAATGTTCTGGTATGCATTCTTTATAGTGAAGTGTTAATATGCAGCACTTTTATTTATTTTAGCAAATAAGTATATTTCTGTAATTATAGAAAGTCAACTTAATTTTTGAGTTACTTTTCAGATAAAAGTTTTTGTTTAGCACTATGGTTTTATTGCCTACATAGCTGGATATATATTAACATCGGCTTATTCTGAGGCTATCCAATACATTTTTTGTTTTCATTTTTTTAGTTTTCATTTCAAGTAAAGCACTCACTGTGTATAGGAATTTGTAATTGGAGGTGCTTGATCTCTACAAAAGAAATTAGGAATTGCTTTATTATCAAATGCTCCTAGAAGTCTTAATTGTGTTCATTTTTTAAAAAATTTTGTAATGTTAGTTGTGTGCATGGAAATAATTAAGGTACAACATTACTGTAGGTTAAAGTTCTATATGGTGAGACATTTTGTTTTTACTGTATGTTTTTACTGAATGATTCCTGTCCCACTCCCAACCCCCCTCAAAAGCAAGCATGAGTAAAATTAGGTTAAATATAGCATGTAGCATCTCGGTCTTCTGAAAATTTGTTTTACTTTCTCATCTTTTGAAATACTGGATGTATCATTGGCTCCCCTGTTTAAAACGAAAAACAAATAAAAACATGGCCAGCAAAAATCCCTGTTGTTTTTTGGTGCTTTGTACAATGACAGATAAGAGCTGCTGCTGTCGTGCAGGTGGCTGGGTTGTGAAGGCAGGCCTGCTTGCCTGTGCTCCCTAACACGGTGCTCAGGGAAGCACGAGAAATTCTTGCAGTCTGCCCTAGAAGTGCTGCTGCTGAGGATGCAGCGCAGTGAAAGGAGACTCCAGAAGTAGACTTCTGTCCCAGTGCCTACAGCCTGTATTGAATAAAACCCTGGGTAATGGTATGTCTGTGGAAGCGTAAGTGTACAGTAGCATCATTAGCCATTTTTATTGAAAGTACAGTTGACTTCCAGAGTATAAGTGAGCGTTACTGCTTTATCAGCTTTTTAGACAGGATAGTGTTAAAAAGTGCTGTGGACAGTGGAAAAGCTGCCGTGAGCATCTTTGTGTTGCTGGCAGCCTGGAGTGAAGGTAATCATGCAGGTCCCTCAGCCAAGAGCCTGTCTGGAGCGCTTTCTCAAGGAGACTTCAGGAGCAGGACCAGGTAACTCCTGGGGGATGTTTCAAGATGTGCAGCTTGGGTCTCTGTTGCAGCAAGCCCTAAGATCAGTATGTATTTCTCTTGCAGTTCCTCCTGTCAGAACCATTCCCGAGGGAGTTAATTAGCCGTATGTTAAAGCTGTATCTTTTGGCAAACTTTTACAACTTTTTCCATGACAATGTCTTAACTCCTCCAAATCTTTCCATCCCTCT